TGATTGTTTCTGCTGAGCAACATGGTTTTGTGAAGGGGAGAGGTGGAGATGAATGTATTGCCATAGCTCAGTTGATGGTGGAAAATTTAGATAGAAAGGTGGAGGCTGGAAACATGATATTGAAGCTTGATATGATGAAAGCCTATGATAGGCTTGAGTGGGACTTTTTACTAAGATCCCTCTCTAGTTTGGGCTTTTCTGATTTGTTTGTTGCTAGTATAGCTAATTGTTTGAAAAGTCAATATGTTTCAGTCTGTGTGAATGGCCAACGAGCTGGTTTTTTCTTTACTTCTAGGGGTTTGAGACAAGGAGATCCAATATCTCCTTGTTTGTTTATTTTGGCTGAAGAGGTGCTTAGTAGGGGTTTAAAGAAAATTTATTTGGAGGGTTTGGTAAAGGGCTTTCATCTGGGTAGGGGGACTACCTTGGTGTCTCATTTGCTCTTTGCAGATGATACATTAGTTTTTTTGAGAGGTGAGAATAGATCATTGGTGAATTTGATGAAGTTCTTGGGGGAATATGAGAAAAGTTTTGGGCAGAAGGTTAGTGTGCAAAAAAGTTCCATGTTTTGTTCTAAGTTCATATCTGCTAGTAGGAGACAGGCTCTTTCTGCTATAGCAGGTATCCTAGTGAAACACTGTCCTTTTACCTATCTTGGTTGTCCTATTATTCAGGGCAGAACCAGAATTAGGGAATTTGAAGATGTTGTATGTAAATTCAGAAGTAAATTGGAAGGGTGGTATATTAGGACGCTTTCAAATATGGGCATATTGATGGTGCAGTTTGTTCCAAGTGTTGTTCCTATGCATCTCTTGGCTTGTTTAAACATGCCTTAAGGTGTTTTGCATAAGCTGAATTCTTTAATGGCAAGATTTTTTTGGTCTAATAAGTTGGAGGTGAGGAAAAGGCATTGGGTGGCATGGGATTCAATTACTTTGCCTAAATCTGAGGGTGGTCTACGAATAAGGAAATTTGAAGAATTGCAGACTGCCTTTAGGATGAAGCAGATTTGGAATCTGATGTAGGGTCAATCTTTGTGGGCTCAGGTTTTTTTCTAATAAGTTTTTAAAGGGGCAGCATCTTTTGAGGTGTATGAATGGGGGAAATTCAAAATGCTTTAAAACTCTGAGTCCTTTCTTTGAGCAGGTGGTTAGGCAATCTAGAATGTTAATTGGTAGAGGTGATCTAAATTGATTTTTGGTGTGATCAATGGATAGGTAATGAACCTTTGATATATAGAGTGGAGAGCATGCCTCAGGTTTCTCTGAAGGTAAGTGATTTATTGGTGAACTCTCATTGGCAGCTGGAGCAGGTGGATGATTTATTGTCTGAACATCTTTAGGCAGAGGTCCTGGGGGTGTCAATTCGATTTGTCTGGGAATGATGACAGACTTGTTTGGCAGTACTCAAAGTGTGGGGAATTTTCATTAAAGGAGGCATGACATAGAGTGAGGAGGAAAAGGGTGAGAAATGAGGTTGCTGTAAATATATGGAGCATAACTACAGCCCCCAGTGCTAAACTTGTTGGTTGGAAGTTGCTTATGAGAGCTACTCCTCTGGATTCCAGAGTAAGGGTGTGTGGGATCTCCATGGTGAGCAGATGTGATTTCTGTCATGGGGAGGAGGAGGATGCTGCTCATCTGTTTGTGGATTGTAAATATGTTAGGGATATCTGGGAAAGATTTGTAGTTATGGGATGTTTTCAATTGATTGGTAGGGAGATGCCTTTGGTAAGGATGCAGAGATTATGTAGTGTTTAAAAGAAAATTAGTTTTTTGCTGCTTGATGAAGTCCATTCCTCTACTGATTTTCTGGCAAACTTGGAAGGAAAGGTGTAGGAGGAGGGCAGGTGAGGGTAGGCTTAATTCTTATTCTATATTTGTGAGGATTTGTTGCCTATTAAGGTTTCAAGTGAGGAATGTAAGGCCAAAAGTTGTGGATAATGTTAATGGTTGTCTGGTTTTGCAATGGTTAGGTATTGTAATGCCTTATGTGATTTCTACCAGAGCTATTTGGGTAGGGTGGTCTTGTCCTGATGCTGAGGTGCTAAAATTGAATGTTGATGGAGCTGCAAAGGGTAACCCTGGGCCAACAGGTGGTGGAGCTGTGTTTGGGAATGAATTTGGTGGTTGCTGGTTCTTTTTTCTGTGGTATAAGCACTAATATGAGTGCTGAAGTTAGAGCATTGCTTGATGGTTTGAGCTTAATTGAAATGTATGGTTTGACTGAATATAGAATATTGATGGAGTCAGATTCTATGGTCTTGGTAAACACTGTGAAAGGAAAGGTAGGGTGTGCCTGGCCTTTTCTGGACATTTTGAAACAGATTAGACAGCTTCTTCACAAAATTAGTTTTCAACTTAATCATGTATATGGAGATGTCAATTCTGTTCCTGACGCCTTGGCTAATCAGGTTGTGAGGGATGGCTTCTCCTCTGATTTTTCTGGGATCAGTCAGGTACCTTAAGCTATGAGGCAGGAATTAATTCAGGATCAGAGGTTTTTGCCTGTACTAAGGACTAAAAATGTGGTAGTTTTTCATTATTTTGGATGAAGTTTGAGGTATGGGTTGGTCTGTGATTAGCTGAGGAGTAAAGTTGGTGGCAGAGTAGTACTATGGGATATAAAGTTGTTTCTGCTTTGAGTTGTAGACTGGGCAGCTGATCTATGTAGCCGGACAAAATAGGTTTTGCAATGACAGTTGTGTTCTGCCATTCTAGCAGAATGCTTCTACATCAGGAGCTGTCTAAGGGGTGACAAAAATCCAGAAACTGATCTATTATAATCAATAGGTGCAGGAATGCAATTAAAATTGGTTTTGGTCCTCTTGAAGGATTAAAGCCAGTTTATGTAAATTTGCAAATTCAGACTGGGAGTTTGGTCAACTTTTGCATTCTGATAACTATTAGAAGGATATTTTGCAAAATCTTGAGCTGCTGTTACTGTGAAGCTAGGATGCTGTTGCAGTCTGTGCAGTGCTGGTGCAGCTTGTTGATAAGAGTTGATTGAAGTTGGTTTGTTGGAGATATGTTGGGATGGAGATGATTTTTAGCTAGCAGATTCTTTCCCCCCATCAGTTTCAGAAATGCAGCATTTGTACAGAAAATCTGACTATCCTGTTCTATTTTATGTTAATAAAATAGAATTTTTGTTTTGATTGTAACAGATTTTCTGTTTACTGTTAAAACAGTTACTGGTTTTTCGTTAAAACAGTTTCTGTCTACCCGTTTAAATATAAACTAGAAAGGGTGTCAGCGATGGTTTGTATAATAGAGGGAGTGTTCTTGAAGATATGATAAACTAGAAGGTGTGTGGCTAAAATTTTCCTTTCATTTTATTACTAGTGCACTTATAATTCATTGAATAAAATAAAAATAATTATCAATATACTAATCATATTTGAACCTTACTTAATTAGGAATTAGTTAGATCAGTTGAGATAACATTTAATATACTACTCTCTAATATATATTATAAAGCATATTAAAATTATAAAAAAAAAAAAGTTTTACTTGAAAATACACTATAATTTATTTTCACATAAAATCTTAATACAACTTGAAAATTTTACTGTGACTGAAGAGTTAAGCTAATATAATGTAAATTGATTTTAAAACAAACTTTATATACTATTATTTTTTATATTAAACTTTTTGATGAAAACCAGACCAAAATAAAAATGAAAATACACATAAGTAGAGATAATATAATCTTTGTACATGAGATGAGTAATGTTATATTAATGGAGTTTTTGAAAATAAATTTGAACACTTGAAAATTACAATGATGCATGTATTTTTTAAGAAAAATATATTTAATCAAAAATTTTCATAGAAACTAATATTTATATATAAAGAATAAATAATTAAAAGAAATGTTAGAGATAATATGATAATAGTTTAAATATTTAACTGTGGAAGAATAGTGTGACATTTGCAATTCGGCCAGTACAACAGTGAATCGAATATATATATATATCAATTCTTTTATGGGAATTTAGTTAGCTTCATGACAATTCACGATGCGAATATAAAGCATAAATTAAACAAAATCTTGGGACACAGAACGAAAGTTTTCTGCTTAGTGTGCAACTGAAATTTGCATCCAACATTGCACCCATGCGTCAAAACAAGAAATCTGCATGGAAAACTGAACATAGCTTAAACTACATGTCCATGGGTTGTGATTTCTCAGACTTTTATTGTATAGTAATATTATTCATTTTCGGTTTAGCTTGCACTATTTTAAAATACATTGTACTTGCACAATGAAAACATAAAACTCAAACTTATGAACAGAGACGTGAGACTGAACCACCACAATTGACTTTTACGATGGCAAGAGAATCTTATTACTCAACAGATATAGTGTGATAAGATGTGTGTGGTGCCCCTTATGTGAAGATGGAACTTACAATTTATAAGTGGGTAAAATTGGCTCTGAAGAACTTTGACTGAGGTGCCATCCTCGTACCAAGGAGCTAGATGATTTCGTGAAACTCATCTTACTCTTGTAATAAGCGAGGTAATAGTGGGGTGATCTCATTCACACTAATAATGAGTTGGATCTCTAAAAAATTTTGATACAACTAAAATTCTTTAATCTTGTGATGGACTTGGCCCAACTAAAATTTCTTGATCTTGTGGCGGACTTGACCTATATATTTGAGTTTGACTTAATTTGCATCTTTGATCTAGGTCTGGTTTAGGCCGAGCCGTCACATACTATGTGACATCCACTAGAGTTTGGTTCTTGTACTTTTTGTGATGCCTCATGTCCGCATATACAATGTTGTCTACTTTTCACTACTTACATACGGCTTTTGAAATATATTCTACTATAAGTTCTTATCGAGCCATTTACATGCAAACATAACTTGCACAAAGAAGATAAAGGTACAAAATTCATCACATAGAGAAGGAAGAGATTGACTATTATATAACTGGCACACAATACGCAAGCAAGCAATAAAGAAATCAAGAAACATTGCATATCTCTATTCATTCAGTAAGTTGATGAGAGGGACCGATGAGTGGAGATTGATCGGCCTGAGAGGAAGTGGGGTCCTGAGATTTTAGCAGGAAATGATGGAAGGAACAATCATCAAGAGGATCAAAAAAGAGATAGACATGGGAGCCATCTTGGACTCCATAATCGAGCAGAGAGAGTTCATTGTCGTTCATCAAGTGGCTCAGCTCACCATTGAGGATCAGAATGAGACGATCACGAGGGAGCTTTTCTTGTGCTCCAATCTCTCTCTTTAGGTCTTCAACCGTGGCATCGTCGCCCAGTTGAATGTAGAAGAGTTTTCCTGTCAATATTTCTACCACCAACCTCATTTCTTTACCCAGACAATGGTAGAGTTAGTTACTCAACTCGATATGTGTGTATGTGTGTGTGTGAGAGAGAGAGAGAGAGTCATGCACAACATGAAAGGTGGCCATTTAGGCTGCATTCTCGCTAGTTAGTTTTGGAGCATGCCTCTGAAATGGGACAACTGGGAATATAAGCAAGTAAAACCAGAGCTTAATTACTAGGATGTGTTGAATTGGTCAGTAATATGTTACACAGGTGATAGAGTTACTGGCCTCATTTGGATTGCTTTATTGTGTTAAACAATTCATAGGTTGCAAGAACAAGGGAACAGAGGACTATGTCTAGGCATTTTGCTGAAATAGCGAGTACAATTACAAGGTTTTTTTGAACCAAATACAATTGCATGTCACACGAACGAATTCACCACAATCGTGTAACCTAGGACTACCACGCTAGTAGTAGGCCTCAACAAAAAGCCCAAAGTTCAATGAACCGCCTGCCCCGTACACTTGGTTGGCTTTGGATAGCCCGACAAGTAGGGGTTGGGTTATTGTTTTGCACTGGGGGCTCAACAGGCTGGCCCGTTAAGAAACTCGATGGACTGGTCCGTTAAAAAACTCATTAGCCCGGCAAAATATACCCAAGCACTAATGGAAATGAACTTACAAAGAGAAGATTTGATTACCCGAAGAAGATAATTAAATTATATTTCTTAGTTGTTTTACTTATTTGATATTTGATCTGTAACTTTTAATTGGTTGAGACTTATAAATGATTAATAATTGTATAAGTGTCAACCTAATTGGGATGTACTCAATTTGTACCGATACAAATTTGTTTCACCCATCAACCAATGTAACATTGTGACTCTTAACAAATATTTGTTTTATTTAATTAATATAATTTTTTTTTAATTATTTTTCATATCCAACTTTATGAATTTATGTCTTTTTGTAATTTTTAGATAAAAAAATATTTTTTAAGCAAAAGCCCATTGTAGGCCCAAATAGTGGCCTATTAGGCTTAGCCCATTTTAAACCCACTTTTGGCCCAATAGGCCCACTCATGGGCTGGCTATGGGCCTCATATTTTTCATGGGCAGACCCAGCCCGGCCAGTTGACTAGTCAAAGCCCGCAGGCTGGCCAAAAGATAGGCTATGGGCTCAAAATCATGGGCAACGCCGGCCCGTTACAGGCCTAGCTAGTAACTAGGCCATTGATCAAACCAGACTGGACTAATGACCCAAAAATAAGACTGGACTAGACACACGGTAAAGGTTTTGTCCCATGATTATTTATCCGGTGGGTCAATCTTAATGGGGTCCTTTAGCAGACTATCACTTGGAATAAACATTCATTGAATTTTCGGAAAATTGATTTCTGAGAAACGTATTCATTGAATTGTCAAAACCATTTGTCGTAAAATATCCTATATAAGTACCAAGTTTGCTGAAGACATAAAACAGGAGAGGAATTTCAAGTATAGTTTAAAGGAAAAGTGCATATACAAGAGGAGAAAGCCCATGTACCAAGCCCATAACACCTTTTACATTATAGTCTTCAATGTATTCTGATCCCCTCCTCAACCACTGAAGCTTACAAACAAAAAACACAGCAAAGTTGAGCTCAATAGCAAAATAAACTGTCTTCTTTGAAGTTACCTCTTTTAGAAATTTAATTCTTTCATGTCTAACAGTGGAAGATGATGACGATGATGAGGAATGCATAATTCCAACTCAATTTTGGCTAGAAACATGACAGGAACTCATGAAAGCTAGACCTCAAGAATGAAGATATACAAATTAAAATCTGACCCTTGATCATCCACACCAATGACAAAGTCTGCAATAAACACCTATGTATCCTAACATAATTTCTATTCTAGGTATATTCCTTTTAAATGGTAAGATCATACCGATGCACGAGATTCCCACTGTGGATGCCTGGGAGGGTCAAATATCCATAATCCAACCCCGATTGCAGAGAGACTATGTGACTCAAGCCCACGATGTTTTAGAGCAACCTTTCCAAGTTGATGCACACCATGTGACCACAGCCGTGCCACAAAAAATTTTGGACAGATGAACCTCTGAACTGATAAGGCATTGACTTACAGGAGAGGCTGGAAGAACTACAAGACATGCAACTAACCTGATCAAGCCCCTTGAATAGTTCTGTAAGCCACCCCAACATTGATGCAGCTGGAAGACACCCTCAGCATTTGGCTCCAGTAGGTGCTGATAAGCCCTCGATCTTCATGACACAACGGTACTTAGCTGGTGCAAGTGCACCAGCCTTTGTGCACAGATCCACCACAGCTGGGGCATGTCCATAAAAATTTCGCCCTTCATCCACAAGAACGGAGGAGTCCTGAGGCCGCCGGAACCACACGACTTTCGAAGGAACTAAATCATCCACCTCTGCTTTCTTCCAGAAGTGAGCTCCACGCCAGCTCTCATATTTAAACACCCCACAAAGCCTGGCTTTATGCCCAGATGGCCCCACATGAACTTCTGAACAGAATTTACAAACCTTTGCAGGATAAACCAACAGCAACTTCTGCACCCCGGATCTAAGCGTCTCCCATGCAGTCAACGTTCCTCTGGCAATCAACCTCAGATCATCAGGAGATAAAGATTCAGCTCCACCAATAACACCCCCAGCACTGTACGGATTTAAACTGCTAGAGTGTAGACTTTCATCACTTGGATCAATTCCTGCCTGCAAGCATAGCTCGACGACTGCAGGAATACGGTCAAAGTCAAATCTTTGATTGTGTTTAATTACATTTTGGAACATCTTTTGTAGGTGAAAAGTCTCCACAGGGACAAGTATATCATTCAAGCCACCCTCAATCCATTCATGAACCTGGTTCTTGGCACGGTGCTTGTAACCACCACAAGTCCGAATTAAATGACCTTTGTCACTGATATGCACTTCTGAACAGTACCTGCAAAGGAACAAGGCTAAGTTAGGTCTCTTCCCATATTGATGGCTTCCTACTCTTCTCCTCACCGAACAATGAGAGAACTGTGTGAAATTTACTTGGAATCTAACTGTTACAACAGAAACTCAAGTAAGATCAGATGTTTTTATAACTAGAGATTCCAACAATTTACCAGCAGGATGGGGGCACAACCCAAGTATGCACTGCACAAAACATCAAGAAAGAAAACAAGTTCTAACCTAAATCATACCAACAATTTCCAAGCACCCAACCCAACCCAAGTAAAAATTCAAAAAGATGATAGAATTATAGCTTCAATATTTCAATTGATGGCCCCGATTATCTGGTTTCTTTTCATTTGCTTCTAAATGCACCAGAAGAGAGGAACTGCTTTCCATGCCAAGCATCTAATCTTTACCACAGGCCATTCCCTCCACTCAGCAATCAACTACATCAAGAATTTAAGGTCAAGGAATATCAATCTCACAAAATAAGGCCTAAAAAATTAAACTGCAATACTATAACGTGGGGAAATATTATCTATTCTGCTCCTTTCACATTCAACACCAGCTTGACCAAAAAACTCCATGGGAAATGGAATAAATTTAGTCACTCCATCATGTTCAAAAGTATTGAACAAATATTTATATTTTATGGCACTTGTTGATTTTCTGAGTTTAATCAAGGTGAAAGAGCATAGCGAGAGGAAGAAGAAAACAGAGAAGAAAAGGAAGAAAGTTGTATGTTATTCATTGCTTCAAAATGGTATCCAACTACAAGTGTTATATACACAAAGAAAAAAGTCCTAACAAACTTCCAGCTCAACCATGTGATTCCAAGTTCAGCCATGTGCCTTGGATTTGTGTTCTGTAATTCTATACATAAGGCTTCTGATGGACTTGAATTCCTCTTGGACTGCATTGCTGACTTGGCTTGGTGACTTGGCTGCTATGCTGGAGCTATAGATTCTAATACTCCCCCGAGAGAATATATTGCAAACTCCCAACTTTAGAAGAAGAGAATGAAAGAGAGTGGATGATAAAGCTTTAGTTAAGATATAAGCTAGCAGAGAATGTGAAGGTACGTAAGCAGTGGAGATCACCCCTTCTTCAATTTTGTCTCGAATTAGATGACAATCTAACTCAATATACTTTGTACATTCATGAAAAACTAGATTAGCTGCAATATGGAGAGCTAACTGATTGCCACAATAAAGAACAGCAGCTTGATCATGAGGAGTGGAAAGATCTTCAAGAAGATATATAATCCAAGTCAGCTCATAGCAAGCTGCAGCCATCGATCGATATTCTGCTTCAGCTGAGCTTCTGGAGACTGTAGTTTATTTCTTAGATTTCCATGAAACAATAGACATTCCAAGGAAAACACAGTAGCCATTTATGGACTTTCTAGTATCAAAACATGCAGACCAGTCAGAGTCACAGTAAGCTGTGAGTTGCAGAGACGAAGTGGAAGGAAAAAAGAGCCCTTGAGCTGGAGACCTTTTAATGTATTTAAGTATTCTGTAAACTGCATTGAGATGTGTAACTCGAGGTGTTGCCATGCATTGACTCAATGAGTTAACTGAGAAAGAAATATCTGGTCTTATACTGGTTAAGTAAAGCAATCTTCCAACAATTCTTCTATACATAGCAGGATCCTTAAGTAGTTCAACATCATCCTTTGAAAGTTTTAAGTTTTGATCCATGGGTATTTTGGCTGGTTTACTTTCAATCAATCCTGAATCTGTAAGAATATCAAGAGCATACTTCCTTTAACAAATCTGAATTCCATGGGAATATCTGGCCACTTCCAAACCAAGAAAATATTTAAGAGATCCTAAATCTTTAATCTTAAACTGAGTATTCAAACATTCTTTCAACTGAGAAACAACATGGACATCATTTGACGCAACAATAATATCATCAACATAGACTAATAGGGTCATGAATGAGGTTTCTGTTTCTTTGATGAATAAACTGTGATCAAAGTATCAAAAAAAAAAAACTGTGATCTGCCTAGGATTGAACAAATCCAGAATCAATCAAGTAGGATGAAAACTTGGCAAACCACTGTCTGGATGCCTGTTTAAGGTCATACAGACTTTTCTTTATCTTGCAAACCTTGTTCTGTTTTTTGGAAAAATATCCATAGTTGCATGTAAACTACTTCTAATTCCCCATGTAAGAAAGCATTGTTTACATCAAATTGATGTAAAACCTATCCTTGAACTGCAGCCAAGGCTAATAGAATCCTGACTGTTCTTCACAACAAGAGAAAAAATCTCCTGATAATCAAGACCTTCCTACTGAGTATACCCCTTTGCAACTAAATGAGCCTTATACCTTTCTACAGTTCCATCTGAATTATATTGAATCTTATACACTCATTTTGAGCCAATAGGATCCATATTAGCTGGTAGATCTGTGATTTCTCAAGGATTTTTACAGCTTGATGGTATGTCTGTGGTTCACTGTTATCCGGAATTGATGTAGCAAATGCTGCATAGTCATGTGACAATTTGTCACAGGATAAGAAAGAGGCTAGGCGATAAGGATGACCTGATTTCTTGGAGCTTGTGGAATTCTCTTGAGAAGGATGAGGCACAAGAGCTTGCTGATAGTAGTAGTCTTCAAGGTATGATGGTTGTTTCTTGACTTTGCTGGATCTGTGGGGAAGAAAAACAATTTGGTTCTCAACAGAAGTGTCTGCAGAGGAGTAATTGGGGCTGCCAGTGTGAAATGAGGGTGTAGAGGTATTCTCTGATGTGGACTGTGTGTTGGTAATTGGAGGTGAATGATTCCTAAGAATGCCAAGAGGACTTGATGGAGTTGGATCTAAAACAGGTACACTTTCTATAGAGTTAAGATTAGAAAATGGTTGAAAAGATGTGAGTTGTGAATAACCATGAGAAACTGGAAGTGATAATGGACTGAAAGTGGAACAGAAGATGAATTGTTTGTTCTGTATGGAAAATGTTCGCATGGAAAACAACATCCCTAGAATGGAAAATGGTTTTCTCAATCTAACAGTTTGTATCCCTCAACTCTAAAAGGATATCCCAATAAGACATATTTTCTGACTCTAAGGTCTAGTTTGAGTCTGTTTTATTTCAATGTGGAAGCATAACGTAGGCACCCAAAAATCCTAAGATGCCTATAGTCTGGTTTTGCCTTGAAAAGCAACTGGTATAGGGTTTGGTTCTACAATTTAGAAGTTAGGGTTCTATTGATCAAATAGGTGGCAATTAATACACAATCATTCCAAAAATCAATAGGAATAGATGAATGAAACATGAGGGCTCTGGCCACATTTAGGATGTGTTGGTGTTTTCTCTCAACAACTCCATTCTGATGAGGGGTTTCTACACAGGATGTCTGGTGAATGACTTGATCTTGGATTGGAATCGAATTTCAATGAGTGAACAAAATGACTTAAGAAATGGCCTGGTTTGAGACTTGGTTTTCATTAGATAGAGCCATGTGCAACTTGTGAAATTGTCAAAAATTGTGAAAAAATACCTAGATCCATCATAGGCCATATGAGTGCAAGGTCCCCATATGGCACAGTGAATTAGATCAAATGCACTTTGAGCCTTATGTTCATTGTCAGGGAATGAAAGTTTATAAAGTTTGGCTAAGAGACAAACTAAGCAAGGAACATTCTCATTCATAAGCTTGACATTTGATAGATCATTTTGTAATAAAGAAAGTCTTGCATCTGAAATATGTCCTAGTCTACACTGCCATAAATCATATTCAAACCAATGGGAAATAGAGGCTAAAATGAAGGACTGTTTACAAGAAAAAATTGGCAAAGCTATAGCAAGAGTTGTAGGAAAAACTGTTGTCGTCTTGAGCTGGTACAAGCCATTGTGAGCCGCACCCTTCCCAATCGTGCTCCAAGTGGAAAGGACCTGGATAAAACATTCAATGGTGAGAAAAAGAAAACAACAATTAGAATCCTGTGATAGCTTTCTGGCTGAAAGAAGATTAAAACTGAAGGATGGAATGCGCAGAACATTCTTAAGAGTGATGGCCTCACTGATTTTGACAGTTCCTATATGTGTTACCTTTGATAAATTACCATTGGGAAGTTTTACTTTGTAAGAAACGTTGGTAGAATCAGAAGTATATAATGAGATAGAGCAAATCATATGATCTGTTGTTCCTGTATCTATGATCCAAGAACCTTGAAGTCATCTAAACATTTGATTTCAGAAGATGAAAAACAAAATAAGATACTAGACATGAGTCCATGACAGTAGGCTTAGAACCAGTGTATTCAATGTTTGGAGTGGATTGAACTTGATTAGTAGAGGAATATGAAATCTTGATTTGGAGTAAAGCCATGGGGTGTTGGTATTGTTCCTTAGTGATTGTAGCAGGAGAGACTTTAGTGCTCTGTTCCTGCATTGTTGAATTAGCTTGACTGACTTGACTTGCTGATGAACCAATTCCTTTGATTTTGTTGTGCAGCTTGTGGCCTGGTGGATAGCCATGAAATTTGTAGCATCTATCAAAGATATGTCCGGTGATGTTGCAATGAGTACAGAATGGCTTCTCTATATCTGGATTAGCATTGAAACACTTATCCAGTGTGTGGCCAGGAACTTTGCAGTATGTGCAGTAATCTTTCCCTCCTCGGGGATCCAAAATGTCTACTACCCTCTTTGTTATTGATGAAACTGGTATTCGTTGCTAGTGCAAGAGAATCATTTAAACAAAGCCCTGTGGAGACTTGTTTTTGTTTTTTTTCTTGTTGAACTAAAGCATTAAACCTCACTTAGACTGGGTATTGATTTAATCAAAATGATTTGTGCCTTAATATTTGAAAAAAAATCATTTAGACCCATAAGAAATTTCATAGTCCAGTCTTGTTGCTAGTTTTCAAGGACAACTTTCATAGCACCACATCTGCAAGATGGTAAGGATTCAAAATTCAAAAGTTCATCAAGCAAACCTTTCAATTTTGAGAAGTATAAACTTACAGGATCTTCCCCTTGAGAGAGAGCATGTATTGATCGCTTTTGCTCCAGTTCTACACAAAGTTCATGTGTAGTTTCAACATAGACAACACTATTCATTACATTCTAGAGCCACGTGATTACCATATCATTGCATTCAAGCCATGAATCCAATATAGGATCCTTGGGATCAGCTGCTTCGCAGAGACTTCCATCAATAAAACCCAATTTCTTCTTGATTCGAAGAGATCTTCGAACCGTTCGAGCCCAAGAGTGATAATTATCACAATTGAGAGGATGACTAGTAAGAAGAGTTCCTGGTCAATCATTTGGATTGAGAAAATAAGGATTAGCAGGGTCCTATGTGTTGGTGTTAATCACAGTAACATTCGTGCTGGAAGGAGAAGGAGAAAGAGAAAAAACATTAGGAATTTTTGGTATTGTGGAAGCCATTTCTGCTCTGATACCATGTTGATTTTCTGAGTTTAATCAATGTGAAAGAGCAAAGCAAGAGGAAGAAGAAAACAAAGAAGAAAAGGAAGAAAGTTGTATGTTATATTGCTTCAAAATGGAATCCAACTAAAAGTTATATACTAATTACAAGAGTGGTGACCAAGTAATTGCAAACCAAAACTAACTGTTATATGCACAAAGAAAAAATTCCTAACAAACTTCTAGCTCAATCATGTGATTCCAAGTTCAGCCATGTGCCTTGGATTTGTGCTCTGTACTTCTATACGTAAGGCCTTCTGATGGACTTGAATTCCTCTTGGGCTGCATTGCTGACTTGGCTGCTTTGCTGGAGCTATAGATTCTGATGTTTGTCCACATAGACCAATGCCTTCTCATTTTTGGCATTCCTATGAAGACTTCTTAAAAATTGTAGGCAGTTGAGTACATTTCATTAAATTCAAGACGCCCCAATCCTTTATAGTTCTCCAGTGGAAGATCCATACATCAAACTTTCATCTTAGGAGACCAAGCAATATATGATGAGGCACCATAAGAAGCAGAAAATTTGTGATAGATATTCAACTTAGAGCTGTCCCAAATTTGTAAGTGTTCAAACTCACTACTTGAGCATGACATTGTCCACACTCTAGCAAACACCTAGTGACTTCAGATTTTGACTGGAAAACCACAAAGTTAACCACTTCAAATCTTAAACACGCTAGACTATGCGTCAATTTGAAGATTCGATAAAAGCAATCAAAGACCAGAATTAATTCATAGAAACACACCAAAGTCAACAAATACCCAATCCAAATTATATATACACACACCCAGAGAGAGAGAGAGAGAGAGAGTTACTTGCAGGCCCAGAGAGGGAAGAGTTGGAGAAGGGTGGAGACGCCTTGGTAGAGGAGGGTTCTGGCCTTTAGGACATCTTGGGCAACTGGTACTATGGCTATCACTGGGTAATCTTTGGCTCTATTCTCAATTCTCTTCTGAATCATCGGTCTCAGCTGCTTCAAATCCACCATCTTCGAGTTCGAGTTCGAACGGTACGCTCGGAAATACCCGATCAAGCCTTCCAACATCATCGTACCGTGCGAAAGTTTGTAATTCCTCATACCCATTTGTACACTCAGACCCCTTGTTAACCAATTCAGCCCTCTCCCACAAAACTCAAATCCAACCCCACACCCCAAACGCCGTTACACCAGAAAGACCACGCTGCACAATCTCGACCACAACATACCTAAACACTACCACCACGATCGAGAACCCCTCCCAACAGTTTTTCATAATTACCCTTTCTCCTTTAGATTTTTAAGAATTTTATATTAGAACATCTCTTTTTATATTTAAATTTGAGTTAAAATGAGTTAAACAATTTCCCCAACTTTAAACTCAAGCTTATACCATTGCTCTCAAAGAGTAAAACTTATTCTGAATCCAAAATAAAGTAGATTTAAATTTTATATCAAATTTATAACGGTAATTTTTTAATCTATGTAAAACTAAAAACTTCTTCGACGATTTGTTCTATGTCTCTTCTTTCTTCTCTCTAGTACACTACTTCATCGATCACTATCGCAACTTTCACAAATCATTTAAAAGTCTATAGGTAAGTTTTTTCTTTTTCATCTTTCTTCTTCTTTATTTTTTATATTTTTTAAAATCCTAATCTCACCCATATTTTATACTACATAAATTTTAAACATACCCATCAAATTTTTCTTTGATTTTTTTTAAGTTAAACACTGTCAGTAGTACAATTTCAGGTCATCGATTCTTTCTAAAAGTTTTAACCTTCACTACACATAAATTTAGAAAATTCGTCATTTTATTTCTTAAATCTTCCATTTTTGTTAAAAACGCATGTTTTTGTATTCTTCAGATCAAGCTCATGTTAAAATAGTTATATTTTTTTTTCTTTTTTTTTTATCTTTAGCTGAATGTATAAAAAATAATAAGGGATTAGAACGATATAATTTTGGGGGTGATTTCTTTATTCCCATATAGTGTTGTATACAAATTTTATTTTATTTTTGAATTACCATTTGTGAAGAAATATGAAAATTTTATTTATTTTATCAGATATTATGATTTAAATGACACAAAAAATATGAGTTTTGGGATAATAAGAGAATTTTTTAAAAGATTTGAGTATATATTTAAGTTTGCTCATTGAAGTACTCTATATCAAATCAACTTTTTTACTCAAATTGGAGATTTTTAAAAACTCCTTTATATATAAAAGGTCATAAAAAACTTAATGACATGACATTAAACATTTAATAACTAAATATAGGATATTGCTCACATGGATGAAAGAGTTCTTATAGAAGAAAAGACATGTTTAGACAAATTTATTGACCCCACAGAAAAAAAAAAAGATATTATAGAATCAAGTTACATAATGGTATCATGTGAAACTGATATTTATTTGATATATAATTTAAAATTATTAGCTCATATCATAAATAAAGAAATAAGTGGTCCGTAAAATTGTCAAAAATTAAATTTTCTACTAATAAGTAAGAACTAGTTTTTGAATTTTACGAACTAAATTTTTTTGGTAGTATCAATTAGGGATAGAGTCTTCATAATTAAAAAATAAATAAATAAATACTAATAGTAACTTGTCCAATGACCTCATTATTTTTATTTGGCCCTCTCGTGGTAAATTATAGGTTCCGTCCCTAGTCACCACCATGACTATATACAAACCAAGCACCTTAATAGAGCCACAAACATTCATAATTAAACAATTTAGGGAGGTTTAATTTGTTAATCATCGGGACAGAAGCAGACAAAGAGTAGACAACTTACCGTGAGTAAGTGGTTTAATTGAGTATCAGCTATCAACTTAACGTGAGCAAATCGTTTCTTTCAAACTACATGAACGTTACTTACAAGTTACTACAAAAACATAGGAGCATAATTTTGCATTAACCTTTGTTGTATAACAATTACGACACAATAGAGAGCCTTCATGGGAAGTGAAGGATCAATTTTGGAGCGGGCTCAAGAGGGTTGGTAGTCTCTGCACAGAGGCTGTGCGTGGATCTTATGCGGTTTGCAGGGGCAAGGTGTTTCGCATTCTATTGGGATGCGGTGCTTGTGCGGGTGAAGCAGCTTTGGTTGCACATTTGCACAGTTCTTCTGTTCTTTGTGATCCTGACAAGAGAAGGGCTAATAAAATAGGGTACCGGTGTGGTATCCATCGAACCACTTCCAACGTTCAAGTTACTGAATGATAAAATAGGTTAATGAAAAGTGAAAAGGTGTGTGTGCAAGAAGATTAGTGACTTAACAACCAATGTTCACTCTTTTTTTGATATTTTCTTACCTTCTTTTCCTTCATTTGAGGGGTATTTATAGATTAACTTGAGTGAGAAGATGGTTTAAACAGTTGTACGTAAGTTGAGTATTATTTAAGTGATGCTGATAATACTAATATACTTCTCTCCACAAAAAGTGTGTTAGTGATTCATTAGAAAGTGTCAGGTGGTGGTGTCAAACCATGTCAGGAGGTGCCAAATTGCGGTGTGTCGGAAAACAATGCCCCTTCATCGGCTCATGTTTTTTTTTTGCCTTAGCTTTCGAGTTCCTGATGTCTGAGCTGATATGTAAGGATCTTGGCATTCATGAATTGGGTTACACTCATGTTCAGTTTTTGAATTAGTGCCATTCGAGATGGGTCTGGAAAACCTAAGAGCCCAATTCATGTACTCAGTGGATTTGAACTAAGGTGAATTTGTTTCTTGTCCAAATTTAAAAACTCTTTTCAATAACTGAATACTATTGGGTTAGACTTGATTACGTTTTAAACTGGTCCTCTCTAAGTGTATCCATTAATAATTACAGTGACTAAATCTGATTGGCTCACCCTAGTTTTGGGCCGGTTCTTATCAGCCCAAGAATATTACTTCGTGGGCTGGTCTCTAAGTAGTAATGCAGAGAGTTTGTAGTTTGTTGAAATTAAAATCAAACATAATATGGAAATTTCTTTTACCAAATTTATAGACAAAAGGTGGAAATAAGATTAAAATAAAATTGTATTGGTCATTACCTTACACTATGATAAACTTATCGAACTAACAACTAAGAGATTGGGTGTATTTGAATATAAGAACAAGCACTCTAGCCGAATAACACTGCACTCAAGGCATTCCTCCGTGCCTTAATTAAACGGTGACAACTACTTTATGATCAGACGTCGAATTTTTTGAAATAAAAACTAGTAGTAATTGACAAAAACAATCTCTCTATTTGTAAGGATAAGCCTGCGTACATCTAATTTTCATAGATCCCACAATGACGAAAGTCTCGTACACTGGGTACTCTTTTAGTCAGTAATAATTGAACAAAAATCGTCTTTCTTTTTTCTTCTTTTTTCGTTGTGCTAAGCCCAATTAACAGTCAAACCCATCATGTCAATAACTTCATAGACCTTAATTTACGCTACCTCAAGCTTAACAAACACTAATCTACAAAAAACCAATCAAAGTAGAAGAGATTCCACTCTTCTTGTGCTTCATCCATCCTATTTAAAAACACACTTGCCTAAAAGCATTCCTTATCAGCAGTGACCTTGATCTGCATTAAACACATTCCAAATTTCACTGGAGGACAAATTAGGCTTATTTTTAAGCAGATTTGGTGAGGCTGCAAAAACTTTTCCCATTCTGGATATTCTTTTTTGGATCGCCCCTGCGTGGAAGCCCATTCAGTTCTGATAACAACCGTGCCCACCCGTTCAAACAAAACACCACTAAACCACACATCTTTGCTTAGCATCAACCAAAGTTTGACAATTTACTTATCCATCATTGAAATTCTTCAGCCTTTATGATTGAGACAATATGACTGAAAGCAAAAGTTCCCGAAAAGGACTCAAAATTTGTTGTGGTATAACAACAGTTGTTTTGATAATCTTTTTAATTGTTTCTGTCACATTGTTCTTCACTGTCTTTAAGCCTAAAAAACCCCAAATCACTGCCCACCCTGCTAGTCTTGAAAACCTTGAGTTCCAAATCTTCCCATCTTTAAGTCTAAACGCGACAGTGGGGTTGGTTGTTACCATTGACAACAAAAATTATGGAAGCTTTAGGTTCAAGAATACAACATCTACAGTCTATTACCATGGGACTTCTGTAGCTGAAGCTCCAATTCCACATGGAACAGTTCCAGCGCGCGGTAAGTTTAATATCCGCACTTATGCAAATTTCACTGCAGATAAGTTGATATCGAGCCCCTTTTTGTGGGGCGATTTGTTTGCTGGACGTTTGACCTTCACATCAACATCAACGCTGCATGGTAAAGTGAGCGCATTCAAGATTTTTAAGATGCATGCAACGGTTCATATCACGTGTGACATCTCGATTATTATTCAGTCTCAAAATATCGAGTCCAAATGCAATTTCAAAGTCAAGTTGTGATTTATTGTCAATATTGAGTACTTTCAATTTCTTGTATAGAATTCCCAGTCAAGAATTTAAGAAGTTTGTAATTGTAACCACCTATAAAACTGTTGGTGGCTTAAATTACAAGTTTCCATGGAACACAGATGAGTAACATTAGTCCTATCAGAGTCTATGAACTCTTAGCAGCAAGAATTAAGCAAATGAGGGAAAAAAAAGTTGGAGAGGCAGGTAAGTTTCTCATAGATTCCAAAAAGCATATATAGCAAAAAATTAGAATTTTTTATTCGGTAGGGGGAATTCAAGGGCTCGTACATCTAATGAGACTAAACCCCCAAACCACCCGATTAGGACGTAAAAGAGGATACCACTTGACTATCCCCCCCCCTTTTTTTTTTTTGGGGGGGGGGGCGGGGTTGAACAAATAGCAGTTAAACAATGACAGATCTAATTAATTAACTGTGGTTCTGATATCTCCTTAACAAAGTTCAATTAGTTATTTTTGATAAAAAAGTTTATACTATAATTTGCCACTTAAGTTTGACTTATGACATCAATTTTTATAGATAAAAGGATGTTTTGAGAAGGACCATACCTTTTTTTTTTCCTGCCTATGAGAAGGACTATACCTAGCTATGACTGCTGGTGCAGTAGAGTCCATATAATATTGAATTGTTATTATTCCAATCATTGACAATGGCAAATGT